CTCTGAAAAGCACACCAAACCAGGCTGACTTGCTTCTTCTGCTGCAAAGAAATATGAGTGGATCGAACCATCTTCTCCAATGAATTCCCCAATTATCGGACTAACCCAGTCTGCAGTGTGAGCACACTGTTCAGTGATGTCTCATGTATATAAATAAGACCCTTCTGCCCAGTGCTGGCATCAGTGAAATCCATATTGTTCTAAGTCACTTACAGAAATACTGGCCATAAATGCTCTTTCTCAATTGTCAATCTTGTTGGGTGACAGAAGGTCCTACTTTTTGAGTAACAAAGTCAGGGGCTCAGAGACTTACACTTACTTGCTCAGACTTCTATAGAGGTCACAAATGTCATGGAATGTTCTCCTTGAGTATCTCTTTAGCCTTGCTTGAATAACAAAACATATCTTCTGAGATGCCTGACTCACACGCATAAAGTAACTAGGTACAGATAGCATTGTGGACAGTTATTAAAAGAGACACTTGATTTTAGAGCAAGGGGACTTTACAGACTATAGGAAATAATTACCACTATGGAATACTTGTCTCCAGTAAAGCAATTTAGAGGTTTATGTTCCCAAAGTTGGGTACACAATTCATCCTCTGCCAAGCACTTTCTTGTATAGCGAGGCATTTATTTTGTAAAACACACTTCATTCTCTCTACAGAATATCTCTATATTTATATATGAAAAGATATACTTTTACATATAAAGTGCTGATATATATCATATATACCACAACATATGAATATATAACGCAGCATATGTTTTCTTCAAGATATGGCGCTCAACAGCAGGGGAGACTGAATCTAATTTATCAAAGGCAAGCATGACAGTGGCTTCCAATTGATGAAGCATCTAGGGGTGATTATCTCAGCCTAATCTGTGTCCCCTAAAAGTCTGGAGACAAGTCCTTCAAGAGAAAAACTGTTGTCAAGGTCTTATTTTCAAATGGAAAACTCAGCACCAGGAGTTTGGCAAGAGGCTGTGGGGTGGAGTGACTGAACAGAGTATTTTCCCTGTCATACTCTCTAGCTCCAGTTTACTCTGGACGGTTTTGAAGGATGAGGAAGTCAGGGGCATGATGTTACTGCAACATGCAACATAAATACCCAAAGAAAAAGAAACTGAAATTATACAAAAAAATGAAAGGAATATCTTTTCTAGAGAAAGACAGAGGGGACTGAACTTTGGGCTGCTGGGAACCCGTTTTACTCACAATAGATCACTACCAGTGTGCAGATAAAATAGAGTAGGGGCCATATTCCAAGGCAGCAAAGAGAAAAAAATAAATCAAGAATACGTCAATGATTAGAAGTTAAAGAAAATGTCGTCCAACACATCAATTCAGACATGCCTTGTCCCCTAGGGGTCCACCCTTTGGCAAACTTTCAGAGGCTGGGGGAAAAAACATGTAAATTATTAGAACCAGTTTTTCATACAAAAAGAGAAGATGGGTAAGTAGCAGGCCGTGCTCCTTGGCCAGACAGCTGAATCTGACTTTCATCTTTGACGCAGAGCTATGAGGAAATGGAAAGAGACTCAAATATTAAACTATACTCCCACAGAATTTTCAGAAATCTGCACACGGAAGGAAGGTCCACATTTGATATTTCTCTGGACAATACGAGTAGGACATGAAACTTTTAAAGTTATTGAAGGAAAGTGATTGGGTCGGGGACAAGGAGGGAAGAAGGAAGGGGAAGAGTTGGGGTTGGGGAGAAGGGTTAGGGATCTGTGGATCAAATCCAATGATTGTCACTCTTAGTAGCCTTGCCCACATGGACACGTATCATGCCACTGTGAATTTTCATAAACAGCCTACCTAAACAGGTTTGGACAAATGACCATGTGGATTAGCAGTCCTCTTAGTCCTCGACAGGACACCATGCAATGTGTGGCCAAAGGGATGAGAACCAAGAATGCATCGTCAATATCCCTAACTTTCCGTAACTGGATTAGTTGCCAATAACCAAGGATTGTACCTACGTAAAGTTTCTTAGACACCTAAACACACCTTTTCTGATTTCCTCACTTGCCTATGCTGCATTGTTGTTGTTGTTAAGTGCCATCGAGTCGGTTCCGACCCATAGCGACCCTGTACAGGGTTTCTGAGGGTGTACATCTTTACGGGAGTAGAAAGCCTCATCTTTCTCCCGCAGAGCAGCTGGTAGTTTCGAACCGCTGACCTTAAGGCCTATGCTGCATGGGGAGGCTTATTTTCAATCATTTGTTTTATTCTAACTACTTACTTCTCTTACCTCCTACCCCACCCCCTCTTGCATACTGCCCCCAGTAACAGGTTTATGGCTTTTAGTTATGATGTGGACAATTCAAATGGCTGTCAAATATTAATAGTGAGGCTTCTGAGTCCCTCTTTATGGAAGACTCCAGGAGGGATCGTGTAGACAAGGGACAGAGACCCACGTCACAGACTTGACTTCATCAAGGCAGGTCTTAGCAGTCATCTGCACCATGCATGATAGAATATCATAGGCTTCACTAGCGATCCAACTTTAAGGGAAATGAACTCAATACAATTATTTTAAACAATTATATGCCTCTCTCTAAGATGAAGTGAAAGGCACCTGCTGTTTGCTTGCTTGGAACAAAGGTGGAAAAAACACATGAGAGGCTCCATCCTTGTCCTAGGGCCTGCAAAAATGGTCTGCTGTGTTCCAGGGGGCTGACGGGGCACTGCAGTAATCTGAGAAGCTCCCGTCCATCCTTCTGCTTTCTCTGTCCAATCACCAGGCAGATTTTTCAATATAAGAATCAAGGCTGTTTCCTTGCTTAAACCCTTCAGTTTCCCACAATGGCCCTGTGGGTGTTGGTTGCCATCAACTTGATTCTGACTCATGGCATTCTCCTGTGACTTAGAGCTCAGCTGCTCTGTGGGGTTTCCCAGGCATCTCTAGGTGGGTTTATGCCATCCAGGGACTCTCACAATGGCCTACACAACCCTTTAGGATGTGGATCTTGGCCTTCTGTGTGAACCTCTTCTCGTATCATTCTAGTCTCAAATCCTGTCAGCCCACTGGCCTTCCTCTGTCCCTTGAAAACTAAAAAACTGCTGCTTGATTCCTGGTTTGGCCCTTGCGCTTCTCTCTCTCTATTTGTATTTGGCCTCAGTTCCAATGTCAGTTCCAAGGAGGTCTTCCTGAGTTTTCTAGTTACAGGGGCTTCCTTACAAGGCTCCCCGTACCCTCAGTCTCTCTCTTCCACTGCCTGTTTCATGTCCTTCATGCGACGTATCTCTGCGTGATAGTGGTAAGTGCCATCGAGTCAATCCCAACTCACAGTGACCCTGAATAGACTTTCCAAAGAGCGGCTGGTGAGCTTGAACCACCAACCTTGTGGTTCAAAACAACCTTACAGTCCAGTGCATTGACCCGCAGTGCCACACCAGGGTTCTGTATGGATTTATTCAATTGTTTATATGATTATTGTTTGCCTCTATTTAGCTTGTGCTTCTAGGTTGGTGGTTCAAACTTACCAGCCAACCGCTCCTTGGAAATCCTATGCAGGGTCACTATGAGTCAGAACTGACTTGGTAGCACTTATCAAGAACAACAACCATTTATTAGAGTGAAAACTCCAGGAGGGCAGGAATTTGTCTTGCTCACCACTCACAAATAGTCTTGAAGCAAGAAGTCACTCAATCCATATATTGGTTCATCAGTAAGTGATCCATTCTTGCGGTTTCACTGATGTCCAGTATCCTTGATTCCTGGCCATTGTCTTGTCATGGATTACTCCCTCAATAGTCTCCTGCATTCTCCACCCTCCTCTACTGAAACAGAGTTCACCCTCTTGTATTTCTCACTCTCTCCTGTTTATCTTCACCTTCAGATTGTTGTTTTTCTTCTGGTGGGCATGGCCCAGGAGATAACTGCTCAGCAGAGTCGATATTGACAAACCACAGAGCAGGGCTGAGGCTGACTGCCCTGGTGACAGATCATTCAAGTCACATAGCCCCAATGGGTGGGTGGGGGTGTTGGCTTTGTGAGCCTTAGCAATGTTATCCCCTCACTAAATCTGTGAGCGTCTATTCCTTTTTTAAAAATGGGATTATTAATAGTCTCTGCTATTACACAGGGTCCTGGTGGGTATTAGAACAAATCATCTCATGTGGACTTTTTCACATTTGAATCACCATAGGAAGGAAGGGATCAGTATCGTTCTGTCTAGGGTCAGGAGCAATGTCAATGAAGTAATAACAACTACACAAGGCCTGACCTTCCCAAGGCAAAGTCCACCGTCAGCTATGGTTTCACTGGAGTTTCACAATCCAACATCCTTCCCTTATTGGATCTTTCTGAAGCGTTCCCAACACAAGCTCTTTTGGAAGGGGCTTAAGACGGATACGCCAGAATCTAGTAAGCACAAGCTAGTCTACCCCAAAGAGCAAAAGGGTCTGAGGTTGGCCCTGAAGACAATGACACAAATTCTTTCCTGGGACCGATCTGAGGAGACCATAAATGAAAACTATAGCCTTTAATACTAACACCTACAGGAATCCCAGTGGAAATAAAGTCACTTCCCAGTTGGGGTCTGAGTCCTTAGTCACAGGATTCTTCTCAGTCTTGGTGTGGACATCTTTACATTTGGTGCGCCCTCCCCCGCCCCCAACTCCCCACTTCCCATCCACTGGGAGTCTCTCTATGAAAACTATCCCTTTTACATGACCTTAGCATTCCTCCTTTTTATATATCATCTTGACTGTATTGGACTTGACACATCGATGTAGGCACTGCTTTACGATCAAGAAGTGGAACTAGGTCCTAAGTTCCTCTCCCAGGTGTGGGGTGGTAATTTTTCCACCTTGTGCTCTACTAAGGAGAGGACAGGGCTTTAGTTCATGTCTCTGTAAACTGCTAGTGAAACATAAACATATTCAAGAAAACTTGATGTTTAGTGTTTCTCAAATAGGAAAGGAAGAAGGAAAATGAATTCGGGAAGTAGAGAGAGGGAGGGGAGGGGAAAAGAAATACTACTTACGCCGTTTGCAGCCACATTTTTTTATTCTTTTGGGATCTGTGATGTCATCATGACAGGCCTTGCAGTAAAAAAATGCCCTGCAGAAAGAGAATGGAAAAACTGACGCATTTCATAATCCACCCAAATGAAATGAGTACCACATTCCCACCGTTAGGGTGCCAAATGAATGAAACATGCCAGCACTAATTTGCTTTAATCTTTTGAAAGGTTTAGACGTTTACAGACGGAAATGTTTGTTGCAAGCCCATTTATTTCAAACACAGGCCTCTGAGATTTGAGTTAGTGCTGTTTTTTCATCAACTCTCCTTTGAAAAGGAACTCGGGGAAAGGTTGCTGATGTGACATATTGGGTCTGTTCGCTTGTCTTTGTTGGTTGAGAACATCTTCCAATTCTGCTCCTAGGAACATGTGGGAGAGCAGTCCAAGGCTCTCTGGGGTGGGGTATAAATACACCTTGCACCTAGGACATCCTGACAGACTGGTCAACTGTATGTTAAAAGGGTTGGCAGTGGCACAAATACGACATTCCTCAGTCAAATAAAAATATTAGCCATGCCACTTTGAAGGCAGCTTTTCTTGCCAGTCTACTTGTGAAACTGTTGAGGAGGAAGATGGGGAAGGAGACATAAAAGTGATGAGGGAAGCACTTGCCTTTGCAAATTCCCTCTGGGATTTTATACAGTCTAAAGAAGATGGCTCGAATGCTACTGTCCTGGCCCCCTAACATGTAACCAATGAAGACTGTGTTTACGTTATAGAACCAATATTCACTGACCACTCAAATGGTGTCGGGCAGGGGCTCTTGAGGTGGGATGAGAAGAGACCTAGTTGATAAGTGTCGTCTAGTTGGTTCTGACTCACAGCAACCTTGGGTTGGGTTTCCAAGAATGACCAGTGGGCTTGAACCGCCAACCTTTTGGTAAGAAGTCCAGTATTTAATCCTACAGCAACACTCCAGGAATTAATATGCCATTATAGTGTAGTGGTTACGAGTTAGGCTGCCAACCTCAGGGTCAGCAGTTCGGAATTAGCAGCTGTTCCATGGGAGAAGGTGAGGCTTTCTGCTCCTGTAAAGATTGACAGCCTCGGAAACCCTATGGTTAAGCTATGAGTTAGAACCAACTCCACCACTACCATATACTAATAATGTGTCCAGGCTGTGTAGACAGAGATTTTGGAGGAGGCAAACGAGGGTCACCCAAGCACTCTTCCAGATGGACACAACCTGGAAGAATGGCGCTGGAGGACTGAGCTAAGTTCACTGGAATCACGGTGCAACCTTCTGTATACAAGAACTAACACCATTCCTGGCTTAGCACCTTCACCACTGCAAACATGAAACTGAATGCCAGAAATTAAAAGGGTCTCTGCTTAACCTGCAATCGAAGAAATAAACACAATTCTTGACCATTTGATTCCTAGGCGTTCCTTTTCATGTTTTTCACAGGACTTGCATTTGTAAATAACACTGGTTGGAAACATATAAAGATTTTGGATTTGCGGATGAGATCTTGTAGCTACACTCCCTGGGATTCAGTATTCTCATCCGTCAGCTGAAGAGGTTGTCATGACCTGCCTCAGGTCATCCTGTGATGGAGCTTGGCCGGCCCCGAAATTTCTGAATCCCAGTCCAATGCTCTTTCCATCAGCGAAAAAACAAACGTGGCTGGTTATTTGCTTGGAGTGGCTAGGAAACCATCTGGTGTTTGGTGACCTGCCTTGAAAGGACAAGGAGAAAGCACCCAGGAGAGCCATGTTGCTTCTACTTCCCCTGTCCATTTTCATCCTGTATGATGCTCTTATACACAAGAATGTTGCCATTAAGTGTTGTGGAGTTGGTTATGACTCGTAACCACGCTGTATTGGGTCTTTGAGGCTTTTAAAATCTTTGCGGAAGCAGAAAGCTTCATTGTTGTCCCGCAAAGCAGCTGGTGAGCTCGAACCACCAACCTTGTGGTTCACAGTTCAGTGCTTAGCCTACGGAGCTACCGTGCTTCTATATGTAGTAACAGTGGTAATAATAATAGCTAACATTTATTGAGTTAAAACTGTAGGCCAGGCACTGGTGTAAAACATTTTTTTTTAATTAACTTCTTTGATCCTCAAACAACCCTTTTTGCAGAAGGTATGACTCGTTAGTTATCTGTGCTTTACAGAGAAGAAAACTGAATCACAAATTACGGGAGCAGAACGCCTCATATTCATCTCTTAGAGTGACTGGTAGATTTGAATTGCTGAACTCCCCATTAGAGAGGTTAAGTGATTTGCCCAAGGTCACACAGCTAAGAGTGATAGAATCAACATTTAATTCAGTGTATGGTTAAGCATTCAGTTGCTTACCAAAAAGTCTGAGGTTTAAACTCATTACCCATTCCATGGGAGGAAAACCTGATGATCTTCTCTGATAAAGATTGTTGTTGTTAAGTTCTGTCAAGTCAATTCTGACTCACAGCGAACCTGTACATGGCTTCGGGGAAGCAGCTGGTGAATTTGAACAGCCGGCCTTGAGGTTCAAACCGACCTTTCAGTCCAGTGCCATACAAGGGCTTCGTGAGGGAAGATCTACTCTGACCTGCAGGGTGTGTATGAATCAGAATTGACTCAACGGCATACAACAAGAGCATACTGCCACCATAGCCCAAGATCTTTAACACACCTACGCCAAAGAGAAGTTCAGTCTGAAGTTCACTTTAAGAATCAAGGTTTGATATAATTGTACTTCCAACAAACAAACCTTGATTCTTATAGGGAAATCCACCTAGGTGCAAGACAGAAAGGTAAATGAATGAAATAGACTATGGTGCCCTAGAGACACTGCCCCTAACTGGAGGGGCAGAATGACTAAGCTCTGTCTGAGTTTTGCAAAGCGACACTCCTTTGTAAGCACCCTTCCCTCCCACCCCTCTCTGCCTCTGTCATGTTCACCTTTCTGCATACCTGCACCTCAGCAGCTACACATTGCTGGAGGAAGAACACAGACTTTAAATCCATGGCCACAGATTTCAAGGGCCTTTCTGTACTCTTCCATGATCCATCTGGCACTGTCCCAAACAACCTCCTGTCTCAGCTTCTCCTCCTCTAGCCCCTCTTCCCACACCTTCCACAAGCAGCCTCACACATCATCGTAAAGCAGGAGACCTTCAACAGGGCTTCCTTCACATTCCCGGTGAAGTCCACCTACTGTCTGCCTCTGCATCTATCCTCCTGCCAATTCCCTGTCCCTCTGAATGAAGTATCCTTGGACCCATCTAAGGTTTTCCTCCATTAGTGCTCTGCACCCTCTCCCTCTGGGTCTCTCCAGGCTTTGTTTCTGAGGTACCACCTCGTGGCTGCACCAAACATTTTACCTTCTCTCTGAATCATTCACCAGTGTGCAGACATGTCCTAATATTTCCTATCATAAAAGGAACTACTGCCTCTCGTAAATGAACTTCCTTTACACTGTACAACACCACTCCCTTTCCTCTTCACCTTTCAAGAAAGAGCTCTTGCTATTGTTCCTGCCTTGATTTCCCCAACTCTCATGCGTCCACATCTCCAGTGGCCAGCTTCAATCGCCACTACTCTTTGTGCTGACTCTTCTCTGGCTGAAGTCACCAATGACCAACCACATTCCCAAAACAACGGTCACCTTCCATTCCTCCTTGACTTCACCTCTCAATCAAACAGATGTGGCTTCCTAAAAAATGTTTTCAAGACGGCAACAATCCAAACCTCTCCTGGTTTTCTCCTACTCCCCTTCTGCCTGTTCCTTTTCAGTTTTCTGTGTTGGCTCTTCATCCTCTTGTCCCTCAACAGGCGGTGGAATATGTATAGAACTTCCCTGGATGTTTCTTTCTTCTTTCTGTACACTCTCCTAGGGTCCTCACAGGCCCATACCATCAAGCCTGTGCTGAACACTTCCCCATTGACCTTCCAGGTTGGGGGTCCTAGAAAGCTGGTCTTTATGGCTCTTGAGTCCTCTGGTTTCCTGTTATGCTTGACCAGTGGGAGGAGACTCATGGGTGGGAAGAGATGAATTCATGGTACTAAATCCCCACCTCCTTCCTGTCAGGTCATCAAATGGCAGCAGCAACATTTCTCTCCAGAAGACCACAGCTCCTGTCAAATGGTCTTCACTGCAACATCTCTCTATAAAGTCTTTTGTCTCTCACCCCTGCATGTCTAGGGCTGGCCATGGCTTCCCTGTTGGGAACTCTGGGAACTTTACTATCCCTTTATAGCTCTCCTTAACCCTGCACATAACTTTATGGGGTCCTTTCATAAAATTCTTCCCTATTCCTGTAAAAGTGTGTTTCTTGCTAGGACTCTCATTGATAATGCATCCAAATTTCTATCTTCAATTCTCACCTTTCCCCATAACTCTAGGTTCTTAAACACAGCTAACTTTTTGACATTTTCACGTACATGATTGGTACATATTTCTTACTTTAGCTTTCAGAATCACAACAACTCACAAGCCACCACAGTATGACAAACTGACAGATGAGTAGTGGATTTCTTACTTACCACAGCCCAAATAGAATTCTGGATTTCCTACCACTCAAACCATGTCCCCCCTCCAGTTATCCCATCTTATTAACATAAATTCATTATACACTCAATGACTTAAGCTCCAAATCTAGGCATTTTCTTCATTCTTCTTTCCCCCACCCCTCATTTCTTATATCTAGTTTATCGATGGGCCCTATGGACACTCCAAAATGTATTCTGCATTGTTTGACTTTCTATCCATCCACACTTACCAAGCTCCACAACTCATTTGTCAGTTTGTCGTACTGTGGTGGCTTGTGTATTGCTGTGAGGTTGGGAGCTATGCCACTGGTATTTTGAATACCAGTAGGATCACCCATGGTGGACCAGTTTTAACAAAGTTTCCAGACTAAGACAGACTAGAAAGAGGGAGAGGCCAACTACTTCTGAATGATTAGCCACGGAAACTTTATAAACAACAGTGGAACACCGTGAGATCGTTTGTTGTTGTTAAGGGCTATCGAGTTGGTTCCGACTCATCAGTTGCAAATATCCAGTAATAACATGAACATGGAATATCAGCATATGAATACAGGAAACTTGG